CGAAGTGGAACAGGATGCATGTAGGCGAAGTCGAAGGTGGCGCAGGCGGACATGGCGAAAGCAATAAGATGAGTATGGTAAAGGAAAAAATTGATAGCCTGCGCGTTGGATTCTCAACAAAATCAGGCGCGGAGAGATGCGAAATGGGGGTTTTTTGGGAGGGCGAACCAGTTGGTAGCGTTAGTTTTAGTGATAAGTTAGTAGGTTAGGAGGTAGAAGGGAAAGGTGTTGCGCGAGGGTGTCGAGAATGCAAATATGGCAGGTTTTGAAAAACAAGGTTTTCACTCGATTCTGCGCGGAATCGAGTGAAATAAAAGGCAAGATTGAGGTTCTTTGGCTGGGCGAATCAAATAGTGAAAACAGGTTTAGAAGAAGGTTAGTAGATTAAAAGTTAGTAAAAAAATAAGTTGCGCCGAGTGATAGCGATGGCAGAGAGTGGGGGTGAAGAATTAGTATCTCGCTCATTCTTTCGTGAAATCGAGCGAGGAAAAATGTTATATAGGGGTTTTAGAGCATTGTGAAATGGATGGCGTGGTTGGAATTGGCAATAAGGTGGCAGATATAGTGCTACAAAGAAGTGAGGCTGCGCACAGGAAGAAGTATTATTGAGAAGGGGATGTATGTGTCCGCATTCTAGCGGACGATTATTTTCGAATTTTGTTCGCTTTATGTGCGAGTGTAGGTTCTCTGTCTCTTGCATGCACAGTAGAAGTTGTAGTTCCTTAGTCCTTGGGCTCCGTACCCACACTGGATTTTATTTCTAATACTTACGTCCGTTGTAGTAGTATATCTTCCTGTGTCCGAGCGAGAGATGCGCTTTCGTGTTGTACGATGGAGACAGATAGACCGCAGTCAGTGTCTGTGCCTGGGTTCCATTTGAATATCAAAGTATCTACCACCATGGTGATTTTTTTGTGATGATCCTCGTGGAGTGCTAGTTTTCTTAATGACCATTTATGCGGAATCCGCTGGTACAATGTTTGTGGAGTTTTGATTCGTCGTGACCCAGAGTATGTCACTCTGGACTGCGCTATTATCTGACCAGTCCTTCGGCTATATAACACGTACAGTCTAGCAGTAGATGAAGATGAAGTAAACGGAGAGGGAGAGCTTATTTGGGGAAAGCGGAAGGGAGACCGAGGCGGAGAAGGAAAAGAGCTATGGGCAAAAGGCAACGAGCGAATGAGATTGCTGAGAGGAAAGGGAGTTTGGTGCAGTAGAAATGGAGATGAAGATGGTGATGTGACCGCACGTACCTGGTCTTAGCAGCAATCTGCTCAGCTGACATCTACATGCACTCCGTTTGCTGGTGCACATCGTTTTGCTGTCTCTTCCTCATAGTAGTTTGCTGCTTTCATTGTTGTGTAAGTCCCTGTTGAGCATTCTTGAGGCTGCGTGCTTACCGGCTGACCGACATGTTGCACAACCATCAAAACGAGGGTCTACAAGCGGGCTGCAAACATAAAAACTTACCTGTGGGAGTCGGTGGACTGCCTATACTACCGAGTGAGTCGTTGCACGTGCGTCAAGGGCTTGAAGACTTGTCCGTTGACCAGGGCATTGATCACCCTCATCGAATGAAGTAACGAAGTGTGAACCGATCAAAGTACTTGTTGACAGGTATGCCGCTCATTCCGTTAGTCGGGGTAGCAAGAGGTGAACCGCAAAGGTACGGGTTTAGCTGTTGGCCGGGAAACTCCTTATCCCACCGGATGACTAACTGCAGGCGAAGATCGAGGTAGGAATCTACCTGCTGACTGATACGACGACCGATACACAACCCATCCGATTGTGTCGAGTAGCATGAGTCCAGCTATAGACTGGATGCCTGTCAGGGCTTGATGAGGACTACACGACCAAAATTTGTGCGCACTCCACTTGTTGCATGACCAACTAGACCAAGCTACCGTTTTCATTGTGAAATGAGAGAGGGCTGAGTTTTTGACCTACAACCCACGTCTTGAACTGTGGCGAGTGCATCTCGGTCCATGAAGCTCTGCGGAGCAATTGAAGTTGTTGAAGGGGGTTTGCTGCAACAAGTTGTAAGATCGTCAGAGAGTCTACAGTTAGAGGGTTTTTTTTTTTTTTTTTTTTTTTTTTAGGTCTACCGCCTTTGTTCGTTTTTTTTTTTTGTTAATATGTTATCCAATTTAGGGTGAGATGTTGTTGACGATGGATTGGTGCGATTCAGCGTCACACACGGACATGTACTGTGTTTGCATGTCGTTTATTAAACCCAATTTCATCAAATCTGTCATCGATTATAGAAATGGAGGTGTTACTCGGACTGGGTTGGCGGGATGTTGAATGCAACTTCATGACATCAATCCTTTATTATTCAAAATGAATTTGTTGTTGAATAATTTGCACGTTAAATGTATGTATTTTGTCTCTCCATTTCACACTCCGCAACATTGATTGCTTGTATTTGTTGTAATTCTTGATTGGGTCGCTGTATATTGACATGTTTCGGTTTGGAATTAGGATGGTCGATAACGTCTGCCATATTGATCCGCAAGATACTTCATTGAGTGAAAATTAATAAATAAATGAAAGAAGCAAAACATGGGAATTTACATTCTCCGACAACGCAAAAAAAAACAAACATGAATTCAATGTTTTAAATAGACGAACGAAAAAATGTTACGACCAGACACAACACCGCACTGTCGGAACCCAAGTAACCGCTCGATTATTCGAAGAAGATGCTATGATCAACCTAACAGGATCTACAATCGACCGACAATAATGATAGTTAACTTCTCCGCCCACATCCCCGTCATGCGATCGACCACCGTCCACCATAACGTCTTCCCCAGGACTGTGACCCTCCCAAAAGGGGTTGCCCCAAATAACCAAAGAAAAAGGAAAGAAGAGCACTACCGCCATGGGCATGGCGACGGAGCCCCGTGGACTGCCATGTGGTGGCGCATGTGCTCGACCAGGCTGTCCCTGATGTGTTTTGCGAGATCCCCCCCATAAGTGGGGTAATCCTTCGCCGCAACCTCAATGTTCAAGTCCGGAAGATGGCGGCTGAATCAACGCGTCGCCGACGTTATCAACGGTTCCCGCGACGGTAGTTATCTTCATTGCTGTCACTGCTATTTCCCATCAACGCCGGGCCGATGTGCACGTTGTGCTCGATCACGAGGTTGTGAAGAATGCACACGACCATGAATTATTTGCAAATGGTCTTCAGGTTGCAAATGTGTCTTAGAATGAAGTTCCTCCAAACCACCTTTAGACGCTCGAACATCCGCTCAATGCATGACCTCGTTGCACTGTGACTCACATCGAATGCCCGTTCCGCCTGTGTCACAACAAACCGGCCAAAAGGAGTCATGAGCCATGGAAGAAGTGCGTACCCTTGATCACCCAACAAACACCGGCCAACATGTCTACCGTCGTGTAGTATAGCACCTCCCTCAGCCAACACTCCTATGCCCTCCGTAGCATTTACGAACAGTGGCGATGCGCAGAGCTCTTGAATCCTGCACAAACTCTAGACAACCCACAAAAACACTCACAATCCGACACTCGTGGTCGACACAGGTCGCACATGACTTACGCCACAACCGAGAACACCTGAGTGTGGTGGTAATAACACTTCGATCGCACTCCCTTCGGCTTGTCAATATACAAATGCTTGCAATCTATCGCGCCCACACACCCGAGGAACCCTGTTCTCTTGAAGCCGTTCTGCACGTCCTCCAACCGTTGTCCTGTAGTTAACTGCAACAGATGGCCGTACTCCCGGATGATGGCGTCGGCCACTTCCTCGTTGCTGCGCAAACCACTTGCGAGGCCCAGACCCAAATTGTGGGAGGACTGCCTCTAATAACCGCTAGTAGCCCATCTCATCAGAGCGCAGGCAAACTTCTGTCCTGTGGGTATTGGCAATCTGAAGTTCGTGGGCGACCGCTGGATATGCAGGGTGATGCGAGCAAGCACTTCAAAGAACAGGGGGCATGGGAATCTGCGAAACTGAAGGAAAACCTTGTCGTGCTCAGCCCCCACTCGCTGGAGATCCTTCCAAACACCGCCGCTACGCTCCAACACCCATAGACGGCAGTCCATTGTCCTCCCCATCTCCTCCACCGCCAACGAACCCAGAGCAAAACCGTGAAACAGCCCCCCCGCCAGCAGTGGACGAAAGGCATCACCAATATTGCCTCCACGACCTCCAACGCTGCCACGTTCCGTCTGTTCACCCACTGACAGAGGACGAAAAGCAGCATGAACATTGCATCCTCACTTTCCTGATGAGTCATCCCACCCACCTCCAGACGGGTCCACGGCCTCCATCCAGTACAATGTCCAACACGTCCACTAACACAGCTGCAAGCGATGCCCGGGCACCAACGCATGCCGAGCCGCCCACACAATAACACTGCGGGAAGGCAGGATATGCACAATGATCTCCCGTGTGGAGCCCAGGTTTTTGAATTCCCCAGGTGGCCCGCAACGGCACGAAAAAATAAAAAATCGCCCTTGGTGCTTCCGTCGCCTGTCTCTCTGGGACGCCGCACCGGGGCTCCACGGTGCCGTGGACGGCACGCGGTGCCCCACACGGACAGGCCAACCCGAAAGGCTAGCATGTCCGCTGGTCCATGCATGCCGTCCGTACTTTCTTTTCGGGAGGTGCCCCTCTGGGGTTTCCTAATGCGCAAGCATGGCCGTTTCCAAAACCCCGCCAGAAATAGGCAGTGTGGTCGCGTCGAAACGTGCCAATTCCTTTCCACCGATGTTGGCCCAAAACCGGCGGCCGATGACCTTTTCCAGCCGCCGGCCAGTGGGGTCCAAGGCTTACCGTAATTAAAATAACGGCCAGTTGTGGTTCGTGTCAGTCTTGCAGGGGATCTGAATGGCCTTTTCCGCATTGCCACGTGTCACGCCGGCAGGCAATTAACACTACCGGAATATTTGATTTGATTTCTGCTAACGAGGAGAGAGATGGAGATGTGCGCAAGCACCGGGAGTAAATAGAAAGCTGCGAAGAGGGACCAAAAAAACAAACAAACAAAAAAACCAAAAAACGAAGAAGCTCTGCACCGAGGAGGAAGTTTCATCGATCCCACAAATCTCTTCCTCTTGGACCCCCCAAAAATAAGAAAAAGACAGCCAATCGGAAGACAGTGAGCGGGGGAAAAAAAAAAAGAGTGGGCGGTGATTAGAGATCAGCGATGACCATGTCTGTCGGGATGGCCGGAGTTTCCGGCGTTGCAATTTCCCGCGCTTTTGTCTTCGACGAGATGACGTCATCAAGGTGTCGGAAGACGACTATGAGCACATCTTTTGTCAGGATGAGGAGGAGGAGGAAAGGGCTGGAAGGTGAGATTGCCACGTGTTCGAATCTTACCTGGATAGGAATGTCATCTGACCTGCCAAGCAAGAGGGAAGATTCAACGCACCTGCTCCACTTTCCGACTGTACGAGAATCAAGGTTACTGCGGGGAAGAGGGGCCTCCTGCCTGCCTGCCACGTGTCGGCGGGAAGAAATCCTGCGCCATCTTTCTCAAGCAGCTGGAGCCATGGCGGTCCCGGCTTCTCTCACCACAAAAAAATCGTCCTTCTTTGAATCATCGTACGTGGCAAGAGGGAATAACGCCGCGTCAGTCTGCGAGGATAGAAGCGGACACTATTTCTTAAGGATGACCAAGTAGGTGCGCAGCTCCTTTTTTTCATCTTTTTCTTTTAAATTTATTTATTTATTTATTTTTATTTTTATTAATTGAAAATTTAATTATTTATTGTTGTTTTTATTTGTTTATATTGGTACCCCCCCCCTCCCCTCCCCCCCCCTCCTCCCTCTCCCTTCTCTCTTCCTCCCTTTTTGTAATAAAGGACTCGAGTTTTTGTCGAACACGAATAGGTGTTGGCTTTATATGGGTATAATCGACAACTAGGTGTTAACCATACTGCCCCGATCACCCCCATCTTCCCCCTCTTCCCCCCTCCCAATTCAATCTTCCATCCTGCCCATGATCCCGTCACACGCTCCACCTCAAACACCCTCTCCCTCCACCTGTCCATTCACCTGTGCCTGCCCTAGATCTCTCTGTCTCCCCTCCCTCCTATCACCCACATCTTCCCCCCTCCCCATTCAATCTTCCGTACCGCCCATGATGGTCCCATCACACACTCCAGCTCTAACACCCTCTCCCACCAACTCCACCTGAGCCCTCCTTTCCCCTCTAGACCCCTGTCCCCCCTCCCCCTATCATCCCCGTCTTCCCCCCCCCACCCCCCTCATCATAATGCCCACGATCCCTTCACACACTAACACCCTCTCCCTCCACCTCTCCATCCAGCTGAGCCCGCCCTATTCCTGCTAGACCCACTTGTCCCCCCCCCCCCCCCCCCCCCCCCCCCCAATCATCCATATCTTCCCCGCCTGATTGCCGGCCAGCAAAGCTTCTCTCTCCACAGAAAAATGAGTTCTGAGAAGGGAGTTAGGGGGAAGAAATACATCACAGATTACAATCGTAGGAGGATAGGGGACTACAGGTAGAGAAAAGAGTGCCAGAACCTTGGAATTGAAAAAAATTAGGGTTTTTCTGTACTCGAATGCCACTGAATATGAATTGCACGCTGAACCTTCTTTTCAGCCAAGAAGTACAGCTGAAAAAAATCTGTAAAACAGGAATGAGACGCCCGACCCCCCTTATAATAGATCAGAGCCTGGTTATCTATTGGGTCTATGGGGATAGGGACCAGCAACGAGGGGCTGCTGCTCTTATCGCTTCTCTCTGTACGGCTTCCCAATGCAGTTTCTCTTTGACGAAAAAAGTAGACAAAGAAAAGGCATGGCCGCTGCATAAGGATGTTACGCATAAATTACTAGTAAGAAAAGGTCCAAATTGAAAAAACAAAAGAAAAGGAGATAATCCACGCTGGATACGGGGAGGGAGGGAGGGGGGAGGGAGGGAGGGAGGGAGGGAGGAAGGGGGCCAGAAAGGGACGGTGGGTTGGAGGAACTGATTTTTTTTTTTCTTCTTGTGCGCTGGTTGCATGTTTTTATACCGAATGATGACGTGGCTTTTGCTCCGCAGAGATAGAAAAAGAAAAGAGAAAACAATTTGTTACTCAATGGCGTGGCATGAAGAAGATACGGATCCTGGGCGAGCGGATTACAGGAGGGAGGGGAGGTGGGGGAGGATCCGATTTTTTGTATGTTGGGCTGATTGCATGGTACCCAATGGCGTGGTGGGAAGTGTGATCGGGATCGGGATCATTGGTCTGTTCTCTGCTTCAGATATCACGAACACACGGCGCGCCGCGACAACCTGACAGGGAGCGATGTCCGATCGCCAGCCTTCTCTGCAGCACTCGGTTCTTCTTGTCTACATCCTCCTCCTCCTCCTCCTCATCTTAGGGAGCGGTTCCCCTGTTTCTTCTGGAAACGACACGTGGAAGGATATGTTTCTCCCTCTCACAGCTGTCGGCTATGGCGGCGGAGGAGATGGGGTGGTACCCCGGCATTGAGATATCCGTACAGAGGGGGGGGAGGAGGGGCAACTGCTGCAGCAGCTCCTAGAGAAGGTGGAGGTGGAGGTGGAGGAGGAGGAGGAGGAGGAGGAGGAGGATGGTTGTTGGGACATGCTGCTCGGCGAATTACAAGCCGGGAGTTCGATCGGGATCGGGATGGGAATGAAGGTCGAGATCGGAGTTTGCCTGCGAAGGCCGTTCATAAAGCCACTGCCTTTGATAACTTGGACACGTTCGCTGAACCCAACGGCTGCTTCTCTCGGAATGGGGTGGAAGGGTTGTCAGCAGCGTATGATGATGAGATGCCACGTGGCAGGGACGGGCCTTCCTCATCATCTATTGGCGGAGAAATCGAGCAGGAAGAGGAGAAGAGGGGGAGGAGGGGAATGGGTGGTCGTGAGAGCCGCACAAAAAGTGGGAAGGAAGATGAGGGCGAGAACTCTGCTTCGTTCGATAGTTTGCCACGTGGCACGTCGTTGTCTGAAGTCTACCTGCTGGGGGAGGAGGGCAATCAAGGCGAAAATGGCGCGGAGGAGGGCCAAAAGGAGGTGGGGGAAGAGGAGGAAGAGGTGGTTTCTCGTCGATACCCAGGAGGAGCACGGCAAAAGCGGGACGGCGAACCGGATCGAGATTGGGACAGATCTCGCAGTCGAGATGGGAGAGGGAGGAGGCGCGGTGGAGGGACCAGGATGACCTATGGGTCTTCAGGACTGAGGGACAAGGAAGGGAGCAGCAGGGGTGAGAGAGAGGGAAAGGGTTTGGCTAACTTGAACGAGATGTCATCAGAGCGAAGACCCGAGCGCGCCACGTGGAATCGAGCAGGCTGGTCAGAGGCACGTGGCGGGAAGCCTGGGTCAGAAAGGGCGACAGGGGGGATGCACCGAAGGTCATCTGGCCACGTGGGCGGGGCTACGGAGGCTCGACGACGATCGGGAGCCTCAGAGAGCTCATCCCGAAGAGCGCCACTTGGAGAGCGAGGAGAAAGGAGGGGCGGATCTGACGCTGACGTGGCGAGACGGATGACAGGCATCCGTGGAGGAGGATGGTACGAAGGTCGGGATCGGGATAGCAGATGGCCAAGGGTACCGAAGGCGGAGACCAGGATCGCAGATGGTGCTAACCGTGGTCGTCGTCGAGGTTTCCCATCTTCCCCTCCTCGTAATCTGCCGCGGGAAGGGGAGCGCCAGGAGCGGAAGCAGTCTTCCACGTGTCACGGGGAGCCCGGAAGCGCCACGTGTGCTGCTGACGTGTCAGGCGGGCTGGGAGGGGACTCAGGTGGTAGCGATCGACGATCGCGCCAGAGCGCGCCGCCATTGGGATCGGTAGAGAGGGAGGAGAATCCGAAGAGCCAGAAGAGGATAGATATAATGGTGATGAAATGGCTAAGAGGCACGGAGGTGCCTATGGTGCCATCAAGCGATGACAAGGAGGAACTGTGGATGGATGTCCGTGATGAGGAGGTAGCAAAGAAGTACACGTCGTTATTGCAAGGCGACAAACTGAATGACGTGTACGGATTAATGTACAGAACTCTCCAGCAGTGCTTACACTCTCCCCAGGGCTTGCCTACTTTGCGGAGGCAAAGGCAATCTTCGTCGAGTCAGGCCTGCAGCAGACCCTCCTCCTCCTCCTCCTCCTCCTCATCGTCCATGACCTCAATGGCAGCCGTTGATGCAGAAGCAACAGCAGCATTGTCGAATTCCTCGTCAATTTCAGTGCTCGGTCGGAATGAGGAGGAGGAGGAGGAGGAGGAGGGGGGAGAGGAGGAACAGGCGGCTGCAGTAGATCACATGCTCATGCTGAGGGCGTGCCTCAGGCAAGATAACCTGCGATTGGCGTTTGCCTACGCTCTGCTGATCCCACCATGTATAAGTTGTTATCACACTATCATGTCTGTCTGTGCTAAGCGGGGGAATCTCGAAGCCGCTGTCCAAGCACTCCGGATTGCACGCAGAAGGGGACTGGTGTCAGATGTCCTGCCGTATTCTATCGTCATTACAGCCTGCGCAAAGGTGTGTTTCAATGGCTTACTCATACCCAATGCTGGCAAAATATCAGCGGTCGAGGCCTCCCTCGTGTCCTCCTCCTCCTCCTCCTCCTCCTCCCCCTCTCTCTCTCCTCTTTCTCTGTCCTCTCCCTCCTCTCTCCTCTCTCCTCTCTTCTCTCCTCTCTCTCCTCTCTCTCCTCTCTCTCCACTCTCTTTCTCCTCTCTCTGTCTCTCCTTTCCCCTCCACCTCTCGCTCTCCTCGCCGCATCTCTATCCCTTACTATTTAATCTCTCTATTGCTGCACTGACGTGGATTGCTCTCTATCTGTAGTATACATATATTTTCTGTACTTTTGTCTGTACCTGCCTCTCTTTCTGTTGCTGGATTTTAAGTTGCAGTTTCTCTCTTTCATTACGCTGGTCACAGACTGGCTTGCAATTTCTCTCTTTCATTATGAGGCTCACAGAGTGGTTTGCAATTGGTCTCTTTCATTATGTGGCACCCACCCACACACACATGATAAGTCGGTGAAAGTCCGACGAAACAGTCTGTTCAGCACAGTCGTGCTTTTTCTGAGTGTATAGCGAAGATCACACACACACACACACACACACACACACACACACACACACACACACACACAC